TAATTCTCTTGTGTGATTTTAAATTATAATTAACATTGTACTTTATAAATTGTGCAGAATTATACCTCATTAAAATATTAATACAATAATTTCATATTAACGTTCAATTAATTGGTCTTTCAAATTCTACAATTATATAAGGACTTTCATTTGCAGGATCTTTAAATTTGAATTTGAATTTCAATCTAAAGAAAGAAGGAAGCAGTACTTGCCATGGGAATTCTTGAAAGGTTTTGGCTGGTCATCCTTATTGCAACACCGTTAGCAGCAATTGCAGCAGAACTTCCTATTGCAAAACCTGATTGTCAAGATAAATGTGGTGACGTAAGTATTCCATATCCATTCGGTACAAGAGAAGGATGTTACTACAATGAAGGTTTTTTCATAGGTTGCAATGACACCATTAGTCCCCCAATAGCATCTGTCGGGAATGTTAACGTCACCAACATAACTCTTGAAGGCACGATTCACATAACGCAATATATAGCCCATGATTGCTATGATGAGTTTGGTTACCGAACTTATAACATCCAATCCTCGTTCGGGTTAGGTTTAAACGGTAGTTATACTATTTCTGACACTAAGAACAAGTTTGTTGCTATTGGCTGTGATACGACAGCATATATACAAGGTTTCCAAGGGGATAAGAGCTACACTGCAGGTTGCATAACCAAATGTGATAGCATTGATTATGTAAACAATCACACATGTTCTGGTATTGGCTGTTGCCAGACATCCATTGCCAAAGGAACGAACAACTTCACTGTAAGAGTGGTGGAAAGCAGCGAAAATCAAAGAATTTTGAACTTCAGCCCTTGTAGCTATGGCTTTATCGTGGAAGAAAGCAAGTTCAACTTTTCTTCAAATAGTCTTCTCCACTACCAAAATGTTAGTGTACTCCCTATGGTGCTTGATTGGTCAATTCGAGACATCAACCAAACATGTCGTAAAGCTAATGCATGCCAAAGACACAGCGACTGCGTTCCTGTTGACGATGGGTATCGATGCAAGTGCTCAAAAGGTTTTGAAGGAAATCCATACCTACCTAGTGGTTGCCGAGGTAACCCATTTATGCTCATGCTATATGTACTGTATTTCATGAAAGTCAAAATAATGGTTCTTGTTCTGATAGTTTTCATTCTTTTGCAGACATAGATGAGTGTTCACCCCCTAATCTCAATGATTGTAAAGGTATGGCGACCTGCATCAATACAGAAGGAAGTCATAACTGTTCGTGCCCCGAAGGTTACCATCTTGTTGGAAATGGTACTGAAAAAGGTTGCATTGCAAACAATCGACATAACTGGAATCTAATTCTAGTCCCTGTAGGCAAGTACACATATTTTAATCCACTTCCAAGTAGTCATATCTAACATACTTTCGCAGTGTAGTTGATTTCAACTTCAGATTTTTATTTCCTGCCTGATTTTTGTTTAAGTAATCAAAACAGCTCTTGAGCCTATTCTAAATATCTGTTTTACTTCAACCCAACAATTACTAAAAGAGAATGTCTGCTGAACAATTTTAGTTTTAGCTTCCTATAGGAGGGGAGGGAACACTTTTAAGAGTCTAGTGTTTTGCAATCCAGATTGGATGGAAGGGCCCTACTCTAATATCAAGGACCTCACATAACCCAATGGCTAGAGTTTTGCAATCCAATGTGATTTGCATTGCAAAATACTAATTTTTTCTGAACTATTTAATTTCCCATTTTAGTCAAAAACATGTTCTATTAACTCTCGTAATCACTCTTATTTCTTTAATTTACAAAGGGATTGGAGGCCTTGCATTATTCCTAGTAGCTGGCACTTGGCTGTTCTGGGGATATAATAAATGGAAGCTCATCAAACTCAAACAGAAGTTCTTCATGCAAAATGGAGGTTTGATGTTGCAACAGCAATTATCCAACCATGAAGGATCTGCAGAAGCAGCTAAAATTTTTACAGTTGAAGAACTCAAGAAGGCCACAAACAACTTTGATGATAGCGGAGTTATAGGTCAAGGAGGTTATGGGACAGTGTACAAAGGAACTCTTAGAGATGGGAGAATTGTTGCAATCAAGAAGTCCCGCATTATTGATCAAAGTCAAAATGAGCAATTTATAAATGAAGTGGTTCTTCTTTCACAAATCAACCACAGAAATGTGGTGAAGCTGTTAGGTTGTTGCTTAGAGACAGAAGTCCCATTGCTAGTTTACGAATTCATTAGCAATGGCACTCTTCACCATCACATCCACAATAAAAGTAAGGCTTCATCATTGACTTGGGAAATCCGCTTAAGGATAGCAACAGAAACTGCGGGAGTGCTATCATATTTGCACTCTGCAGCCTCTACTCCAATCATTCATAGAGATATAAAGTCTACAAACATACTCTTAGATGATAGCTACACAGCAAAAGTATCTGATTTTGGTATTTCAAGGTTGGTTCCACAAGACCAGGCTGGAATATCTACAGTTGTTCAAGGAACTATTGGATACTTGGACCCTGAATACTTGCATTCAAGCAAATTGACAGACAAAAGTGATGTTTATAGCTTCGGAGTTGTCCTTCTTGAGCTTTTGACTGGAGAAAAGGTACTTTCCTTTGACAGGACAGAGGAAGAGAGAAATCTTTCCATGTATTTTCTCTCTGCAATGAAAGATAATTGCTTGGGAAAAATTATTGATGGTTGTATAGTGAATGAAGCAAACATTGAGCAGCTTAATGAGGTAGCTAACCTGGCAAGGAGATGCTTGAGTGTAAAAGGGGAGGAAAGGCCTACAATGAAGGAAGTGGCTATGGAATTAGAGGGACTGAGAAGGATGACAAAGCATCCATGGGCTAACGATGCATGCGATGCAAAAGAGGTAGAGTACTCGCTTGGTGAAACATCTGATAAATCTGGTCATGACTTTGATGTTAGTGGTAGCACGAGTGTCGTCTCCAATACCTTTCCAGATCAAGTAGGATTTGCAGTTCACAGTAGGAGATAAACACAAGTTTCTTGGTGATTGGTTTATACCCATTTATTGTACTGCCAATCATAAAACCCAAAAAAAAAAAAAAAACAATGGGGGAATGGAAGAGACCACATTCTTGTAGATAGGATTCTCTTTCTAATTTTCAATATATTGTCCTTGGTATGTGCCGTGTGATAAAAGAGTGAATTTTACTTAGATGCTTAATAATTAATATTTTAATTATGTTAATTGTATTGGAGCCATGTAATGTAATTTGTCTTTTTGTATTTCAGTAGATAGTGGTCAAAACAAGTAGTTTATACAATATAAGAAGCAAGCTCCATATATCAGTAAATGATATCAAATGAAGACATATGGTTATGTCTTCTATGTTTTCCCTCAATTTCTCCTCTGTTTTTCCTCTTCTAGTGAGCTCTCTGTGCTTATCTTCTTTTGATTTCCATCACCGTGAATGCTATGTAAAAATAAACAATATCATCGATCTACTTTAGATTGATGCTTTCATCGTAACAGGCATATGTGGTATAAAAAATGTCAAAAATATACAACTCCAGTGACTTTATTCAATTATTCTGAGGAAGTAACAATTACAAGGAGTATCTGATTGCAAGATTTTACTTGGAAAATAACCCTAGTAGGTTATTTATCAAACTGCATTAATCAAAACAAGCTAAGCTTCTAGAGCAACATTCAGAAGGTGATTAGTTCTTAAATCTTGACCTTTAATCCTACAAATACGTCATTGTCAGCAATCAAGTGCTACTCTTCTTTACAATGGATTGCATCCAAGCATCAATATGTTCAACTCTGCCCATAAGCACATCAGACTGATCGAGTATTTTGGATCACATTGAAGACTAGTTTGCAAAACTGTGTGCCTTTCTTCCAATTGGTGCAGCCCCAAGACTTGTATACTATAGTTAGAGACAAGTTGAAAAAATGCTCCTATACTGAACTCCAGCTAGACCTTTCCATCTGATGAAGAAAGGCTTGTATCTGTTTTAACCGCAGTTGAAGTTGATGTTGTTAAAGAATTGGTGCCTTTAGAAGGGGAAGAGGAAGGAGTTGGGAGCTTCTTAGGCAGCATCTGTTCCCAGTTAGGCAATCTTGACGCTTTTGAGACAACAGCGAGAACAAGAAGAGTCAGGAGCAAGCACTTGTTCCACCAAGAACCTGACATGTTGAATACCAATGGTCAGGAGATACCTGGAGAACTCATCTCTATAACTTTCATAGATAGCTTTAGAAGGTTAGTGGCAGCAGACATGTTGAGTAATCTAAGGAGACTTTCAACTTGTTTTGTTTGAGGAAAGGTGTGACAATGGCAGACAATGGAGTATTTGAAAATTCTAAACTGCATGTGGAACTTAGGAATTTAAGGGATTTAACTTCTCAAGTGGGACCAGTTATCAGTAGGATATAATTTATGTATGCTTAATCTTGTAGTTCTGGTAACAAATTTTTGTTGTCAAAATGTCAATGTGCAACTTAGATATAATTAATAATCTCACTCAGGCAATATATTACATAGAGGTAATAACTTGACCAACCAGCTATGTTTATATTATACTTCATGTTATTGTTTGAGTGACATGAAGCTAGCACACACATTTCAGGTTTTGCACTAAAATCCTACATGGGAGATTACGGGAAAGTTTAAGGAAACAGAATCAGTAAATGTTAGTACCTTCTGGGTATCTTAGAAGTTTTCAAGACAAACAAAAGTTTAATTACAGAATCAATTTGCAAATCTTAATGATATTGGTAAACAACCCAGTAGTTTCACTTTCAATTTTAGCACAGTACGAAGACAGCTTGGGACTACCCTGCAAATTCAACTAGCCAAAAAGTTACTCTGGCCAAGTTCATCCCATTTTACAACCTTAATCATTGTACACACATGCATGGATGCATACATATCTTTCAATATAAAACCCAATAAATCATGTGTTCTTAATATTAGATTAACCTGTAAAGCTCCCTCAACTAATGGTTCCAAAACCCCCCACCTAGACCCCAGCATTATTTTTCTTAAATTCCAATCATGCAAACATGAGGAGAGAGCTATTTTCATTCATTTCCAGATAGCTATCATCAAACCAAACAAGCATACTCGACTATGTAATTAAAAACACAAGAATATTTCAAAAGAAGTTCAAAGGACGCATCTTAACTCCTTTGTCTACAACTTTGCCAACATAAGAAAAATTTTACCCTAATAGATGATAGTAACAACCCAACAGTATCAGAGGAATATCCATATATTTATATCAGAAGGCTAGTGTTTTTGAGGCACCCATTATCCTCAAACACATAGAAAGCCCGTAGACATAATCAAAGGTCCAATCTAGAGGCTCATTTTTATTTTTTCTCCCATTGCTTTTGCTAGGAGGGCAAGCTTGGGTTTTCATTCCTTGATCCTTACAAAAAGAGGAAGGTTGTCCCATTGGACCAGAAAACCTGGCTTTTTCTCTGTTACTTAAAGTTAAACTATTGTATGAGTTGAAAGAATGTCGGATCAAGGATAACTTATATTTCTTTTGCAGGCAATTTTTGAACAAGAAGAGTTGGCAAAATAAGTGGAAACCTACAACACTCATCCCACAAAGTGTGGTGGGGTCAGTTTTCTTTTCAACATATAATAATTCAGGATAAACTAATTTTTCTATAATGCTTTGAAAAAATTTCAGTAAATGCTACGTTTAGTTATGCCTGCAAGTAATTTCATTCCGTGTATATCAATCAATCAACATAAGGTCCTAGTGTCAATTCACTATTAAAGAGTAGTCCGCCAAGTGCAGCTAGCACTCCACTATCAAAATAACGTAAAGCATGGTTCAAGAAACCCAAAAAGAAATCAATGAAAAGCATGGATTAAGAAACCCAAAAGTCCACAGAACAGAAAGAAATCCAAAATTGATGTCATAGATTTTTGAAAATGGGGAGAGCAACAATGCAAAGCAGTATGGTTTCCAGCTATAATCATAGAATCAATGGCATGTGCAGTCTTACCTGCCAAACCACGGAGGAGAGAGTTGGGATGATGGTGGTTGAATGAAGAGAGTGGGGAGAAAAAGATGGACGGAATGAGGGAAGTTTTTCTATTTGGAGAAAAATAGTGAAATTGTTAATGACCCACTATTTTTTTCGGCATAATATTTTTCATACTTGCTATTAAAGGACCAAACTTCAAGAATGCCTTCAATTTTCATTCCATAATGATAATTTGATTTTACAATCAAAGTATACAAAGATAATAATCTTCGTAATGGGGATCCAAATAATAATCAACCAATAAAATGTTACACTTTAAAACTAATCTAAAAATTTTAATGCTTGAGATATAAAAGAATACCTATCAAGTTTTTGTCACCAGTACGGCTAGAACTTCTCTTAGTACTGCTATTCTGATTCAAACAGTGGCTGCTTTTATTGTTTCAGTCACATTTGGACGCCAATATGTCTTGTGAAAGCAAATGAATCCTTCATTGTCTTCTAAATAAGTTGTCCGGACCTCCCACCTTAGAGATTTAGCCATTCCCTCCACCTCCTTTATGGTTTCAGCGTTGTCCCGTACAATCAACTTTCCCTCTGGCCTTAGAATTCTATCAACTTCTGCAAATAATGTAACTAAATTGCACCTGTGGCCAGAAATTAAGAGCTCAAATCAGAGCTATATATTACTGAGATAACCTTGGTTGAGAGTGATAGAGCTAGGAAATAAACCTCTTTTTGATGCTAGAGAATAGATGGTCGGCATGGAGAAGATCATAAGATCTGGGGTATGTATTGAATGATTCACACCAGTCATGATATA